CGTACTGGGATTCCATTCAGCACTTGCTTTGGGGATGAAAAGGACCATCCCCCCGCTGCCACCAATGTAACGGCTACCCAGCTGGTATGGGGTATCTGCCGTTGGAGACGTCCTTTTCTAGGCAAGCTGCTGTGAAGTAATGGAGCTCTTATTCCCATCCACGATATCCAAGTGTATAATCCGGCAGTGCTGTAAAATGAGGCAGAGTAACGGTACAATAAATCCCCTCCAAGAACGAGACAAGGCTACATTTTGAAGGGTCAAGTAGAACTGATGTTTATTGACAGGGGTCTCCTTTTAGGCAATGGTGCCCTCTGAAAGGCTACACCCACATAATTAACACAACAGCCAATTAGGTACACGGTTCAACCCCCACGTCTCCTCCCCTCAGATAACATATAACATAATTAAAACAGACACAATTTTAACCACATTCTGAATGTACCCCAAAAACAGGGGGTACACCTTTAAGTCCAGCACCAGCTCTCACTCAGGGGAACAATATGTCCAAATTTCAGCCCATTCGGTTGAGGGGTTCAGGAGTTATGGATCTTTGAAGTTTTGACCGACCGCACAGGTTTTCTAGCCGAAAAGAGTTCCATAAGTTTTGGCCTTGCGGTCGGTCTCCGTTCGTGCATTAAAACCCCACGAACCCCTTGCCATCCACAGTCATCCTGGTGTTCGCTGGAGTCCCTATGAGAGCTTAAACAAAACTACCGAACGGCCGGTTGTTCGGTAGTTCCAGCACGAACTTACAAGCTCCTGGAGGTCTCAGCGGTGTTCACCTGTTTGCGTATCCGTTTTTAGTTCCATGCATTCACAGGCAAACACCGCTGTTCATGCGTAAGATGGCCGCGAACACGTGTAAAGTCCCGAAATGGCGGCCATCTAACCCGAGCACAAAGGAATTCGTATGAACCATGCGAACGGCTCCACAAGCGCTGGGAGGTAAAATAAGGATTGTCTTGGAAGCAATAGTTTTGTCTTTTTGGATATTTATTATATAAAAATATAAATAAAAAATCCATTATAGCAGAGTTTATAAGATTAAATTACATGCTTGCAAATATCATTAATAGGTTAACATACCCTTCTGAACATGTCATCATGTCAGCCTCTCTGTCATTTTAAGATGGAGCAGCGTCTGTCTCCAAGTCTCTCCTCTGTATTTTTACCTTAGGTGTCTTCATTTTAGGGTTACCGTAGTTCATATATAAAAAATAACACTTCTTTTACTTTATTCATTTTAGGACCTCCCTTAACTTGGCAAACATACAAGGCCATAACTAAAGGGTGCATATGTCATGGAAATTTTCCTGACTTAGTTCAAGATGGCATCTTAAAGTCTGAATAGCTTATCTGTTGTTTATACTAAGTCGTAAGTGCACAGTCTTGGGAGATTCCCGGATTTGGGGAAGTTCCATTAACTTGGGATTACAACAGTATATTGTGTACTGAAAGAGTCGTAGTATAGCCTTGAAGCTTGTTTATGCATAATCGTTATTGTAATTTGTCTGGGACAAAATGGCGCAAACATATTATGCACTGAGGTTATTGCTAAAAGAAACAGTTATGAAAACAATATGTTCCATTTCTAACACCTTGTCACTTTGCAATATCTCTTAAAGACAAAATACACAGTTTAAGAAATACAACATTTCATTCTAAAACTTGTAATATTTGCATTTGCCCATAACACCCTCTCCATTAAACTGTGGGCATTGTAGCGCATTTCTTCCTTAAATTAGTGAACCAAAGTTCTCCAACTGTCTTTAGGTTTTTTTGTGCTCCCAGCATCTTTGATCATTGTTGTAACAGTAAAACATCCGTAGTGTGATCTTTGCCTGTAAAGGTGGTTGATTAAAATGAGCAAAGCTTTTGTTTGGGAAAGAATTGAAAAGAACACCAAGTTCCAGAGTAAGTTATTCTTGGATGGATCCGGATACGAATTGTAGTCCAAAGTTAAAAGTAGTAATTGTATTTGTAATCCGAAGTCTTTAAAGGCCTGTAGAAGTTTACATTCCTTAGATACATTGCTGGAGGTTGTGTTTGTAGAATACCCGGGTATTTGTTGTAGAGTATAGATTGTAGAGTCCAGCTTTCCAAATATTTGGCACTTTTCACTATTACATATTTTTGTGTACATAGTGTATCTACTTTGATCGAATTGGAATAGGATTGAAGAGTTCCTATTTTTGTGTGAGAGCTGCTGCACTAAGAGCACTTGTTGATTTGTTTTAAGCGCCTTTTTAACACAGATTACCGTGTAAATTTGGCTATAATTGGTTGCAGATATTGAATCAGCATCATCTGTTATCACCGTGGTGATGGTGTTGTATTTGTCTTTGTCTTTTGTCTTTGCTCGTTTGCTTTTTGTTTTGGTTTTTTCCATGAAACATTTTTACACCGTTTATGATGTGTATAGATTGGATGTTCTCCGATATTCTTTTACGGAATATATTAATTGACAGCATTTCCAAGACATTGTCTTAAGTGACATGGATCCCATTATAGTAAATGTTATGTTGATACAGCAATCGAAGTGGATTCTCAAGATCGCCTCTCTTTGCGGTATGGATTCTTTGCAACACCTCTACATCTCGATGACATATAATGACATCAGGTGCTGTTGTGCTAAAAATGTTAAAATCTGTGGAAAAATCTTTACATTTGTTATACTTTGTATAATAATGATAGATGAAATAGTAACATAGTTAATCTTTCTAGTGTTTTTGTTTTAAAGATAAAAACCCTTTTATATGATTTAGAGATATAAGGATAATTTGAAGCAGCAAAGTATTTACCACCTTTGTTCACAATGGTATATAACAGTGATGGCGAACCTTTTTGAGCCCCAGTGCCCAAACCGTAATACA